CTGGCATCTTGCCGGGCGGGAAGGGGGGGAGGCCAGGGGGCTCGGGAGGGGGGAACATGTCGTCCGCGTCGGTGAGGCGGCACTCCCTACGCGGCACGTGGAGACGGCGCCTCGGAGGGGGGGTGGCATCGCCTCGAAGGAGGACGAGAGCGGTGCCGCGCGGAGGAGAGAGGAGGTGTGTCAGGGGGGCTGGAGTAGAGTGCGGCTGCTGGGGGTCTGCACTTGGTGACGTGGAGTCCGCGCGGGATGGTGCCGCTGAAGTTGTTCTCGTCGAGCTCGAGCTTCTGCGCGGCGCGGGGGAGGAGGAGGGGGTGGAGGGGGTGGAGGGGGAGGGGGGGGGGGGTGGTGAGTCCCAGCAGTGTGTCGGAGTAGGTTGGGGGACGCCTCCTCCGCGCCCGGTGCATCTCTCTGTGTCTCGCGGCGACGTGCGCTCACCTCGACATCATCGAGGAGTGCCATGGAGGCCGGCAGGCTGCCCGAGATCTCATTCTTCTTGATGAGGATCTCCTGCGAGCGGGCGGCGGCGGCAAGGCTCGGGGGAGGGGGGGGGGGGGGGGCGGTTCTTCCTGGGGATCTCCCGAAGGGCTCGCCCTCTCTCCTTCTCTCCTCTCGGGGGGATCCGCCCCCCCGCCGCTCCCCCACCACCACTACCACCACCACCACCACTCCTAGGCGGGGCCTGGAGCTTTGTGGCCCCCCCGATCTCGGGGGGGATTGTGCCCGAGTACCCGCTGCATTTGGCCCGCTTCCACTGCTGCCGCGTCGGAGGCTTCCCGAGGACGTACTTTGGCAGCGCGTTTGGGTTCCCGCCCCTCCGCGGATCCCGGGTCCGGATCGGGTTAACGATCCAGTTGTCGACCGTAATGTAGGTGCCCTTGCAGTTGTCGCTGTCCCGAATGTCAAGCTCCTGTGAGAGGGAGGGAGGGGGGGGGGGTGTCCGAGGGGGAAGGGGGGTGGCGGCGCTGCGCCACACAGCAGCGAAAACTGGGGTGTGAGCGGGCGGCGGAGGGAGAGAGCGCGCACGCGCGGCGGTGGAGAGGGAGAGGGGTGCGTACGGGGGGGGGGGGACCCGGCGGGGCGCGTGGGTCGGAGGCGGTGGCTGCGGTGCGGCGGGGCAAGAGGCGGCTCGAGCCGCCTTGAGGTTCCTTGCCATCCCGATGGTGGGAGGGATGGTGCCCGAGATGCCGGCGCGCTTTGCCTCGAACTTCTTGAGGGTGCCGGAGACGAAGAGGTTGGGGGGGAGCGTGCCCGTGATGTCGTTCTCCGAGATGTCGATCTGCGCGAGCACAGGCGGAGGTGGGAGGGTGAGCTCTCACGTGGCGGAGGCGGAGGGGAGGGGGAGGGGAGGGGAGGCTTCGAGGGAAGGTGCGGATCGCCTCTTCGAAGACGGAGTCGCTGGAGAAGAGGGCGTCCGGCAGCGTACCCGTGAGGTCCTTGCTCCTCAGCTCAAGCTCCGTTAAGTCTCTCAGAAGGCCGAGCTGCGGCGGGATGGTCCCCCTGACATACGGGATCCATTTAAACTGGATCTTATCGATCAATCCGTCTTTGCACGAGATGTAATCCTTATCGCAGCACTTGATGCCGGGGTTGAGCCAGGAGCGCCCTCCATTCCCCCACTTGGGTCCGTTCATGGCGTCGTAAACGGCCTTTAGCGGTATGTAGCATTCTGCGTCCGCGCGCGCCGCCAGCCCCCGGCGGTCCGCCGCCTCCGCCTCCACCGCCTTGGCGGCCGCGGAGCTGACGAGCAGAAAGGCCGCGAGCATGAAGCGTATTACGAGGGTGTGCACGAGACACCGATATCCCGACGGGCGTGACCTCACGGCGCTCAAGGCGCCGTGCACGCGGCGTTTCTTTTCCCTTGCGGACCCGAAAACTCGAGAACGCGCCATCCATTGCGATCGACCACTGCACTGGCAGGTGGAGTGCGAGAGAGAGATTTTTGACTCTCTTCTTGGAGTGCGTACTACGACAGGGCGCCCCCTCCTGAGAGAGAGAGAGAGAGAGAGAGAGAGAGAGAGAGAGAGAGAGAGAGAGAGAGAGAGAGAGAGAGAGAGAGAGAGAGAGAGAGAGAGAGAGAGAGAGAGAGAGAGAGAGAGAGAGAGAGAGAGAGTTTTGCTCCTTCTACGCCTTGAACAAACAAACAACTCGATTGCGATGCGGCTTCCTGGTGTGTCGATGGTGTCGGCCCCGGGGATCCGCGATGCGTACGCGGAACAGACGACCTTGACGTCTCCGCAATAGTGCGTGCCGTCCTTGCCAATGTTGTCCGCGTCCACGTCGGGTTGTTTGTTGTAACTCTGACCGAGGTGGGCACACATGGTGGGAGTGGAAGAGGATGTGATAGAGGATTAGAAGTGTGATGTTACACAATGATTGACACCTGAATATCAAAAATACTAGCAAGCTATCAAGGAAGCTAGCAGAGGATGATTGTGATAGAGGATTGGAGAAGTGATGTTACTAGGGGGGGATATGGTGATTTTTGAATGAACCGGGGGGACCGGCAAGCCGAGCCCGCGAGACCTCGATTCATAGAGTATGCTGAGGGCGCTCTTTTTGATTGAAAATAGTACCCCACATTCCCCCGACGACCTTTGCCTCCTGACATCCACACAAGGCGGCCATCACCGCGCAACTGTGAACGGCGGCCATCACCACCATCTCCGTGGCGACAGCCGGGCAGGCCTCTCGCGACGGCCGATGGCGACTGGCCGGCGCTGTCCCTGTCGGCGGGCGAGTTTGCGGCGCACGCGCTGCGCGTAGGCGGCGCGTGGGCGGGTGGCCCGCCCGGCCGTCGGTGAGCACCGGACGCGAGGGTCGCTGGGTCGGTCGGTCGGCTCCTAACTAACTCGCTGCATATTAAGGGCGTATACGCCCTTATGCATATACTCCCTTAATGTGGGTAAACCATAGTAGCGTGCACGCTACTATGAACAGAGAAGCCCATAAAAGTCGCCGACGACGAGCCAGCCTGCTGCCGGCTCGCACGGCAGCCTCTTCCTCTCGACCAGCCTCAACTTCCGTACAGTCAACATTTTGTCGCTGCGTGCTCGTGGCGAGCTGTGGCGGCGGTCGAAGTTGGCCCAGATTCGTCGACGAGCGCCGGACGATAGTAGTGTCTCTGTTCGCCCTGTGCATGTCAGGCCAGGCTGCAGCAGGGCACTACCACCGTGCTGCCCTGTTGCAGCCTGACTTTGCCCACTGTGCACAGCCGCCAGAGCACCACCACCGCCCGGCATCGTGTCACGGCGAGCTCCTTCTGCGCCCGCTCGCGAGGCTCTCGCGCTAGCACACTTTGGACATCTTCTGCTCGCGTTCGGCGAGCTCTTCTCCGCACTCCTGCCACGGCGCCGTCACCAGACACCTTCTGGCCGGCCTGAGCCGCGCGGGGTCGCCGGCGGGGGCAACGCGTCGACCTCTCTCTCTGGTGCACCACGGGCCGCGACGGCCTGCGAGCAGCTGGCGCGAGGAGGCAGTGTGCCGGCACAGTCGAGCCGGAGCATCGGGTTCTTGATGCTTGTGGGGTCAAGTTTGACCTTATTTGGTATAATATGCAACAATAATGCTATGCTATCTCCCGGCTTTTTGAGATATGATCCCTCAAAGTCGAATTATGGTTTACTGGTGACCATAGTAGTGTCTGGCGTGTTTGCGTTTCTTCAAACGAATCCTTTAAAGTCTCGACAATCACCAAGCTGCTTATGTGGCACCGCAGAGGCTCCCTTGGGGATGCCTGAGGCCACCCCAACCACTCACCAAGCCTTACGTGGACGAATTCAAACCTACTTTTATGGTTTACCCACACTAACGAGCGAGTAGTAGCGATGAGCTCACTAGCTAGAGCTCACACTAGAGGCCGTCATCGCATTCGCCCTGGGACCCAGCGCTGACTTCTGACTGTCGTTGCGGTCTATCCCTTTCTCGACTGTCTGAGCTTGTGCGTCTTGGGTCCGTGGTTGTGTTTTTGTGTGAACGGTGACTCGAAGAGAAATGCCCGCTTTACCACGGAGACGAGTCGTGAGGCAAGCCGGGTACACATGAGGGGCGCTCTTGTGCTGCTCTTTGCCGCATGCGGGCTGGCGGGGAAACACGGTGGTGCTGGGCACAAGCACCAAACACCAGCCTGCGTTGAGCATCCGAAGGAGTGCACAGACCTCTGCGCGAGCGTTGGCAAGTTTGTAGGAATGAACCGCAAAGGAGTGCAAGACGGACGTGGATGGAGCTGGTACTACCCAGCCGTGCAGAAGTACGCCACCTGCATTCGCGCGGAGAAGTGGGTGGAGGTGGGTGCCGCGTGGGGCGCGCTTGCAAAGCACATGCTGCAGCATGCGACGATCGAAGCAGGTGGGCCGATCGCGGAGTACCACATCGTCGACCCCTTTCTTGGCGGGTATGACGAGAAAGATCCGATGAGCCGGATGTTCCGGTTGGCCGTCGCGAACCAGTCCTACGAGAGCATCTCAATCGCGTGGGCCCAAAACATTGGCTGGGCTCTTGGCGGCGGCGGTGAGGCTGCCGCGGGCTGCCGCTTGCGCGTCCACCGCGAGACGTCCGTCAGCGGCGCGCGACTCTTTGCAGACAAGAGCGTCGACGCCGTGTTCATCGACGGGCTGCACACGTACGAGGGCGTGAAGGAGGACATCATCGCGTGGGCACCCAAGGTCAGGGAGGGCGGCTCGCTCATCTTCAACGACTACCCAAACACCGTGTGGTTTGCTGGCATCCAACGGGCAGTGGACGAGGAGGCCGCACGGCGCGGAGTATCGCTTCGCTTCATCAACCCAAAGCAGCATGACAACGCCGTCCTGGGTGGCGATCCCAACTGCGCTGAGCTGGCGCCTCCCCAAGCGAAAAGGCAGGGCAAAAAGCACGGCCACGGCAAAAAGCACGGCGACGCATAGCGCCGCCTACAGGCGACGCACACCGCCTCGATCCGGCCCGCCTAGTGTGGGGGAGGGCGGTCATGCCGCGGAGTACGGAGGGTTGCTCGTCCCCGAGCCCACCCCGGCACACAATAAAGCCTTCCAATGCGGGCGGTCAGGCCGTGCAGTACGGTTGCTCGTCCGTCGTCCCTGAGCCCACCTCGGCACACAATAAAGTCTACCAGTGCGGGCGTGTCGCCCCCTACCGTAAAGAGTCTCACCTTATGCTTTGAATCGGCCGAATGGGTGGGAGCGACAGACGGCGCAGCCCTGTCCGCTGCCGACTTGGGCGCGGGATGGCGCCTGTGCGGCACGGACCCGCAAGCGGCGCTCGTCGGAGGGGGCACCGTCCACCGAGACCGACCCTGGCGAGGAGCCGGCGAGCCGCTGGGGTGGGACGCGACGCAGCGAGACGCCTCACCGGCTGCCGTGCCGGCCCCTGTGTCGCGCCCCGCGCTCGCAGCGGCCGCCGCAGCCCTCGACCAGCCCCACAGCCTCATCGACACTCGATGCGATAGACGATGCTGTTGTCGCCATGGTTCCTCCTCTTCCAACATGTCCTCGCCCGACGGACGACGAAGGTGCGCGCATGTACGACCAGCAAGTCAAGTTGCACCACTTAGTGCTCGAACACATGGTGCACAACGACTGCTCGACCAACCCAGCCGCGCCGTGCATCAACCAAGAGGGCTTTTGCAGCAAAGGCTTCCCCAAGCCTTTTCGAGAGGCGACGACGTACAGCGAGATGGAAATATATCCCGACTACCGTCGCCCACGTCCATCGCCTGAGGCGCCGCCGCACGGTCGACAATCGGTGGGTGGTCCATTACCAAGCTCACATCAACGTCGAAGTATGCATCTCCATCGAGAGCGTCAAATATTTGTACAAATACATATGCAAGGGCATGCGTGCGTGCGTGCGTGCGTGCGTGCGTGCGTGCGTGCGTGCGTGCGTGCGTGCGTGCGTGCGTGCGTGCGTGCGTGCGTGCGCGGCTTGGACTTGGCCTTGAGCTTCTTGCCCACGTCCACAGCGCAGATCTCGACCTCGACCGTGACCTCCGTCTCGTCCACAAGCAGCTGGCCCAGCCGCTCGATCTGAACGCGCGCGGTGGACAGCGTGGGCTGGTCGCGGACCTTGAAGAAGAGCGCCTGCTTGCCGCTGAACAGCACCTTGCCCTGCAGGCCGATCTTGACGGAGGTGGGAATCTCGAACGACTCGCGCAGGTACGGCTCGAGGCGGCCCCAATCCTCGGCCGTGACGATGGAGTTCACTCGCAGCTCCGGGGGGCAGCTTGCGAGCAGCGTCACGTCGAAGGTGTCCTCATCGATCGGGTCGTCCTGCTTGATCAGGAAGCGCCACTGGAGCAGGCCCGCCTTGGCGGTGGCCGCCGTCTGCACGCGGGCCGCCTTCTTTGCGGCCTTCCTCTGCTCCCGCTTGAGCTCGCGCTCCTCGCGATCATCGCGTTCGCGCTGCATGCGCTCCTCGCGCTCCGCCGAATCCTCTGAGGACGACGAGGAGGAGGAGGAAAGGCTGCGGTCGCGGCCGCGGTCGCGGTCGCGGCTGCGGCTGCGCGGCTGCGACCCATATAGAGCTGGCGGGAAGGAGCGTCCATGCGCGCGCAGCGCGAAGAAGAAAAGAAAAACGGCTCGAATAGGCGAGATCGCCGCGAGATCGCACAAGATAGAACGAGATAGCTGGATTGATCTGGATCGCCCCAGATAGCACGTCAATCTGATGAAAAGAACCGGCCAGACCAGGGATGTCCGCCGCCACCGTCATCGCCGAGGTCAAGAAGATCGCCAAGGCGGAGCCGGCCGCCAGCGGCCAGTCGCCCGCGACCGACAAGGCGAAGAAGGAGGAGCCCACGACGCCGGCGCAGAAGCGCCAGGCCGCGGCCGTCGCCGCGCGACGTCCAGCGGCGCCCGCCCGGTGCGTGCCCGCACCACGCCCGCGCGCAAGATGTGAGACGTGCTCTGAGTCATAGTGCGCCGCCGCCCGCGCACTCGCTCGCACGGCTTCCGTTCCGTCGTCGTGTCCAGCTCCTCTTCCTCGAGTAGCGGCGTCGCCGATGACGACGAGCCGCTCGCGAGCGACTCCGAGTCGCTGCTTGACCAGGCCATAGCGGCGCACGCGGCGCACGTGTAGATTTATAGGTGTGTGTGTGGACCGGCGCCGAGTATCTTTCCTTCCATACATTCACATGCTGTGAGCTTTGTTGCGTGAAACACCGACCCGTCCCCTGTGGGCAGGTGGAAGTGTCAGAACCGGTTGACCCCGCAACCGGTCTGACAAATGGAGCAGACCTACTTGCATCTCGGTGGAGGGCCAGACCCACAGGACGATTGCTGCAGCACGTAGACGGGAGGAGACTGGGAGGAGAGAGGCTTGATTGTGTAGCGCAGCTCCATCTCTCCACCCCCCGGGGAAAAAAACGGCTCTCGAGTATCGTCTGTGGGAGCTTTCCTAGCAAGCCTCTGTTTCTTTGTCGTCCGCCGTGTCACGCGCAGTGCGTGACCTTCGGCGCACGCCAGCTCACCTGCTTTGAAGCAAACCCGCCCCCTTTGGGGGCGGGGCCCTCGAGGGCCTCAACTCTAGTCCCATATTTATACTCGTGCAACAACCCGTGAGCACTAACCCGCGCTAACCCGCGCTTACCGACAGAGTCACGCAAGGCCGGCCGCACCGTCGTTCTCCTATGCCTGGCTCGCCACGCCACTCCAAGGGTCGCGTCGCCACACTTGTGTTCTCCACAGCGCTCGCCCTCCTCCCTCTGGTAGCTTCGCTGGCCGCTCCCCGTGTGCAGCGGGGCCCAGTAAGTCGCGGAATCGCCAAATGTCACAACCCGGTCCACCCAGCTGGCCCGCGCCGTGCTGCCGCTCATCACGCGCTGCTTCGCATCCGCCGGCGCCGTGCCGCCAGGCGGTGTAGAGCTCGAGTCGCTCGTGCGGCTGATGGTGGCGGGGCGGGCGGGAAGGCTGGAGGCCGAGAGCCGCGTGCAAAATCTTCTGTCGCCGTGTTGCAGCCGGGCCGAGGGCGCGTCCGACTTCACGCTGGCGGCGCTGCTCGAGGCGACGCGGCGAGTGCACGCCTTTGTCTCGGCCGCGCTGCTGCCGGCCCTCGGCGACGGCGTCGACGTGCAGACGCTGACGGTGGCGCGGCTCAACGAGTGCGCCCTGCCGGCGGCGGAGGAGGGGTCGTTCGAGGCGCGGCTGCTCGAGCTGCTGCGTGCGCGAGCGAGAGGAGGACTCCAAACGGTGCAGGCAGCACCAGGAGGCAGAGCTCATGCAGTTCGCCGCAGCCGAGAAGCGGCAGGAGCGCGACGCGTCCCGGCACGGCCGCGCAGCCTCCGCAGCCGCAGCCGCAGAGGCCCAGTCGCCGGGCTCCTGCCCCGAGGGCCCTCCTCCCTCCCTCCCGCCGCCGAGCTGGGTGGACAGCCTGGGCTCGCCCATTCGGTTCTCCGAGCTTTCCGTGCCGATGGGACGGCTACGGTCGCGTCTCTCTCTCTGAAGGAAGTGGTTGGATCGTTCGTTGAGGTAGTTGGGTACGAGGGACAGGTCGCGTCTCTCTCTGCCGAGCTCGAGTCGATGCGGCACGACGAGGAGCGGTGGGCCTCGCCGCACTTTCCGCGGCGGCAGGGGAGTGCGGGCGAGGCTGCCCGCGCGCACCACGAGGCGGCGGGCGGGGCGCGCGAGGGGGACAGCGCACATTCACGACATGTCGCCTGACACGTCCGCGACATGTCCCCCGCAGGCTGCAGGCGGGCCGGGCCGCGGCGGAGGCGACGGGCAGGAGGGTCCGCTCTCCGGCTTGAGCCTCCACCGCGAGGTCGTCTCCGAGCTCTCCCTCAGCCAGCCTGAGGCGGCGGCGGCGGCGCAGCTGGCCGAGGCGGTGTCGGCGGCGCTCGAGGCACGCCCCGCTCGACGCGCCCCGCAGCCGCGCCTGCTTTCTCCGCGGCGTGCGGCTCGACGCGAGGCGGCCGCCGCCGCAGGAGTCGCCCTCGCGCAGATCCGCGCCGAGCGGGCGGCGAGCGGCGAGGCGCTGCTGTGGGGCGAGGCGTTGCGCGGAGGCTCGCCCGCCTTCGAGGTCCTCTCCCCCTCGCGGCTGCACGAGGTCGCGCGCGGCCTCCGCCGCCGCGCCGTCGAGCGCGCGGCGGTGCGCGGCGAGGTGCCGCAGATCGCTGCTCCGGGGACCCTCCAGGGACCCTCTAGGACCCCTTCTAGGTGCGCTCCCAGAGGCGCGCTCCCTCCGCTCGAGGCTGGTCGAGCTGCGCGTGTCGCTCGCCGACCTCGAGGCGCGTATCGCCGCCGTCTCCGCCGCGCCGCCCGCCGATGGCCGCCCGCCGCCGGACGACGGTAAGTGGCTGCTTCGCATGCTGCGCCACGCGGACAACGCCGCGGCGCGCCGGACGCCCGAGGCCGGCCAGACGCTCGAGTCGGCGGCGCAGCTCGCCTCCCTCGCAAGGGTGGAGACGAGGGGGTCACAGTGCCCGAGGTGCGCTCCGCATGCTCACGCGCGGAGGAGGCGGAGGAGGAGGAGGAGGAGGAGGCGGCCTCGCGCGGAATGAGGGCGGCGTGACTGACGCCGCCTCGTTGCTGACGGTTCGAAGGTGGCGCGCCAATCTCGGCTGCATCTCGCACGGGGTGCGGTGCCGGTGGCACGCCCACCCGCACAAGCGGTCGATGCTCGACCGGCTCCGGCGCTCGGCCAAGGGGGGCCCGTCCCAGACGCTCGCCGCCGAGCTGGAGCACGTGCAGGTCGGAGGCCGACCCCCGGCGACAGAGGCGGAGTCGCGGCTTGTCGAGGCCCACACACCAGCGCGAGCAGAGAGTGTGCGCGAGGGAGTAACGTCCTAAATTCTGTTAAAATCTTTTACATCGATAATGCGCCGCGGGGATCGCCAATGAATTTGTTTCGTCGGCCGACGGGGGCGGGATCCCACACCAGCGCGCCGCGCGCATTTGGCTCCCCTGGGATCCGTCGGCCATGCTGGCGCCGCTTCTCTCGCTACCGTTGGGCCAAGCCAGCGTCCCGTGCGGCTCGATAGCGACAGTGGATGTGGATGCTTGTGGCCGATTCAATTCGGTAACAGAGGTTCACGCTAGCACTTTGGACAATTGCCTCGCCCAATGCAAGGTTTTTGCGCGCGAGGACCGATGCAAGTATGTGGTCTTCGAATTTGACTTGGGATCATCGCCTCGTGAAAACTGTATCATCATGAATGACCACTTGGACGGACGCATCGACCACTGCCAGACCCAGGGCAGGCTCCTCGACTCCAAGTGCCAGGATGCCTCTGCGAATGAGACGTGCGCGTACCTCCCAGCCGTCTGCATGGTGAACCTCCCACACGGCGACTCTGACGATAAGGAGACCTACATGCAAACGTGGAGAGACAATGAGATGCCAGCCAACTTTCAACTCTGCGAAAACAAGTGCCAGAACGTGCTCGACTCAAAGAGAATTGACACTGGTTACGTCTACTACGAGAAAGGAGGTGAAGCTCCTTTCTGCAAGTGCTGGGCAGACAGCCCAGTGGTCAACATCGGCGGCGGCCCTGGCGCTGAGTTGCTGCCGTTCTATCTCTATAGCCTCAAAAGGTCATCGCCGTTCTACACAAACTGCAAGAAGGTCATCGCAGCTCCTAACGTCAATGTTGGAGCGTGCGACAAAGCGTTCGCAGACGGCTTCGGTCTCGCACCGCCCTCGCCTGACCCCGACGTCAGCTGGTGCAACGGGAATGAGACCAGCCTAGGTGCTGCACAGGTCATGGTGGTGGTGTCGACACAGATGATTGGAGACAAGGCATTGTTGCTGTCGCCCAATGCGTGCGACGACATGACCGCCGAGGGATGTGCTCTGACTGGCTCTCACCCGATGATCTCGTGCTGGCTCGTGGACGGCGGCCAAGTTCTCAGTGGAAACTCTCTCGGGATCAGCGCACGGCTGCAGCTGGGACCAACGCTGTCTGACGCGGTGGACGACGTCATAATAGATAAAATCATCGATGCTGGCGGTGAGCACAGCACGTTCCAGTTCAACTTGCGGGATTCTCATCGATGCCCAGATGACACTCTCTGCAACCTTCTTCTTAGCGCCCCTCCGTCGGCCCCTGAAGCATCTCCCCCTCCCCCCGCAACCCCGTGCTCGGACGGGCCTAGGATGAGGGTGCAGATAGGTAATGGTCCGGCGGCCAACAAAATCCTCAATGTTCATTCCGGTGACCTGGGCAATGTGGGAATCCTGGACGGAAAGATTTCGTGCTGGCTCTTGGACAGCACTGGAAGCCCTGTCACTGTAAGCCCTCTTGGGATCCCCGCCTTACTGACGCCCGACGGCGGAGACCAGGAGGCCGTCGTGATTGACAGAATCGAGGAATTCTGCATTGACGCAGAATCGTGTATTTTTGGATTCCTTTTGGCAGCGGTTCACACGTGCCCGGACAATACTTTGTGCACCCTCCTCCTTCACTCCCCTCCGCCGCCGCCGCACCCTCCTCTCTTCCCGGCCATCGCGCCTCCCCTCGCCCCCTTCCCCCCTACCGCCCCCGGCTACCCCGCGGGCACCTCCACCACAGAAGTCATCATCTCGCTCATCGTGAAGAACTTCCGCTGCGCGGACGCCGCTGCGACAGCGGTCAAAGTCGCAAAGCGGTTCTCCGCGCCAACGGCGAACGTCGCGTGTGGGGGGGCGAGCACGCGTCGTCGCCGCCTCACAGACGACCTCTCCCTCACCATCACCATTCCGACCATCGCCGCGAACCACGACGCCGTCTTGAACTCAGCGACCACGCTCTTTCAGGATGAGGAGGCCGCAACCGCGCTGCTCGGTGCATCGGTGTACTCGGGCAGCGCGACCGTCACTGACACCTCAAACGGCGGCGCGGACAAGGACCCGCACCTTGCATTCCCTCACGGCGGCACGGCGGACTTCCGAGGCAGGAATGGGATCTACTACAGCTTCCTCTCCTCGCCCGGCCTCGCCGTCAACGTCAAGACCGAGGCGAGGGGAGCTTGAAACCGCGCCACGCGCCGGTCACCAGCACATCGCTGCAAGACCCCCCCCCCCCTCCCCCCCCTCCGCCCTCAGGACGCCACATTCAAGCTCCACAACTCCAAGCTGATGGTGGACGGCTCCTTCATCACCGAGGTGCATCTCTCCGCACGGACCGCCAGACCCGCTGGCAAGAGCGCTTGGGCGAACGCCTCCTTCTGGGCCGCCGAGCTGTCCGACTTCAACACGGGTGCGTCCCTGCGTCTCACACCTCTCCACGAAGACCCGGAAAACGACTGCGTTCTACCGCGCTGCCCCACCCACGCAGGGTGGAAGGTCATCAATGGCTCGTGCTCGGGCGCATACTTTGAGTTCGGCCTCAACGGCCGCAAGACGTGCGGCGATCTCGCCATACGGATGAGGTACGCCAGCGCGACCTTCACATTCCGCGAGGCGTGGACCGTCGTCGTGCGCGGTAACCATGTGTTTGATCGTGTCACCGGCCCGACCCACCGCCTCGACCTGACGTTCAAGGAGGCCGCCGGAGCAGCGGCGCGGACCCTGCCGCACGGCATCATCGGCCAAACTTTCTCGTCGAGTGCGCCGCGCCACGGGAAGCAGGACGTCTACCCTGAGTTTGGCCGCGTCGCGACGTCCGCGATGGCGGAAGGCGCCGCGGCTGCGCTGCCAACAGGACCTCGGCCGCCGCGGCTCAGTGCGTTCTGAGGCTGCGCCTCCGCACCGCAGGCGCCATCGAGGGGACCGCGGCCATGTACGAGGTGGCGTCGCCCTTCGCCACCAACTTTGCCTTCTCTCGCTTTGGCGCCACCGAGCTCGCCGTGACAGCTGGCGGGCTCGCCTCGCTCGCGGCGGGAGCGGAGGCGACCTCGACAGAGCGGGAGTAGAGGCTCCGGGCGGGGGAGCTGGCATGTGGAGTTGTGGTCCATGGAGCTCCACATTTGGGGGGCGGAGCCGCGGCCGGCAGGGGATATCAATGACCCGAGTGCAAACGAATTTAACAGTACAATCTCTCACACAGCGCAGATTTGAAGGGGTGCGCCGCGCGGTCTTGAGGTTGACCCCGGCTAGTCGCCTGGATATTCACAATTCGGCGATACAAACACTGCCTGCCAGCGCGGGGAGCCTCTGGCTCTGCCCTCGCTTTCATCGTCCCGCCGCAAAAGGAACAGTAAACACTCTGCATCCGGATCTAACGTACGATGTGTGAAGGCGCCCTGCCACATCTTCGCTGCAGATGGGCTCGCAGCCGCGCAATTTCTGCGCGCACGCTAAGCCGCAGGACCACCTGCCGCGCCGCTGCCGCCATGCGCTGCAGCGAGGCGTTGCGCGCCTGGCTGTGGTCCATCACGTACATGATGCGGTCCGCCAGGTCGGACATGTCGCTGCGCACGGGGATGTAGTGCTCCCAAGGCACGAGCTCGTGGTGGTACCACATTCGGAACCTGGACACGCTCACGAGATGGCCAGGTCATGCGGCGTACCCGCAGCTATTCGTCACAGCATCGAGGGGAAGGGATCTCGGCACCTGTCTGATGCCACCCACAGGACGGCGCTCCCTCCGAGCAGCTTGAAGAAGAGGCCTATATGATAATCACACCACGCTGACAGTCGACTAAGGAACGCGGTGATGATACAACATTGAGCGGCTCGAAGCAGAGGCGCAATTCCACTCGTTAATCTCGGCTGATCTCGGCTAATCTCGGCTAATCTCAACAGAGGCGCCGTTCCACTCGTTCGCCCAGCCGTCGATGGCCACGACGGCGCGGCTGCCGGAGAGGAGGACAGGTCCTACGGCAGAGGACGGGATGCTGGAGTTGATGTTCGCCACACACCACCACCAAGCCCCCACCCCGCCATTCAGATTCAACGCTGTCGAGACTAGCCCCTCGCCCCGCTTTGAAGAAATGATATGGGAGGTTGTTCGGGTGTGAGTCGGGTGTGGCCAAGCACCTGCCATCCTTCCGTGCAGCCGCGGGTCCGCAATGTCCAGCCGGCCCCTCCCCAGTCCCTCGGGCAGTGAGCGGTTCAGTGCGGCCGACAGCTGCAGCAGGCGGGAGCGTTGAGAGGCGTTGCTCATGACATGCCCTCGCCAGACGACCGCATCTCGCTTTTGCTCCCAGGGGACGGCCCACGCGCTGCTGGCGGCGCTCATTCGGACGGGGTTTGTGGCCGTTACGGCACCATGCACGATCGTGTACCCATTGCTCGCTACGAACCAGGGATCTGGCATGATGTACGGCGCTGACGCCGGGGACATATTGCCTGCCCGCAAGGGCTCTGCCCACGAGGTGGCCAGCCAGCCGGCGCTGTGGATGTCCTTTAGAATGCGCAGTACTGTGCTTTCCCGTCGCTCGCGAAACAGCCCGGGGTCGCCATGGTGGTATGCGATGATGCAGGGCTGGCGCACACCTCTCCCTGCTGATTGGAAGAACTGCCTCACGGCCAAGGCCCGAGTCTCTGCTTGGGCATTTCTCGCCCTGCCGTCGCACCGCCGACTGCTGCTCGCGCCGACCGAGCGGCACAGGCAATACTGAAACCCGCGATGATACATCTTGGCATCGCCACCGCCGAGGTCGACGCAAGTCAGCCGCCTAAAAAGAGGCGAGAGCCCAAAAGCGCTGTGGTTCATGGTGCACCAACGCTCGCAGCTAAGGACGCTGCGCCGGTCGAGGTTTGGCCCAACCGCCATCACTCCTGGGAAAGCAGCAGTATAGGCAGGCAGCGTTCAGTCAGGCTGCGAAGCAAACGGCGAGGGCACCCGGCGAAGCAAGCTCTTGAGCCTCGCTCCATGTTTTTTGTTGTAAAATTCTTTTTTTACACTGCGTTGAATCTGTCTTTCGACGGTGGCGCAGTGCTACGCGCGAAGTGGGTCAAGAAAGCCATAACGCGGCTGGGGTGGCATTGCGCCGTCAACCAAACACTTCCTCCACGTGTTCGCCAAGCAAGGAAGGAAGGAAGCGGTGGGCGGAGTGTGTATCGCGCGCCTTGCGGGGGGCGCGCGGAAAAGAGGAAAGCGCCATCGCCATGGTGCTGCAAGCAGCGCCGGGTGACGACGACTTACCGCCTCCTGGTCCCCCTCGGCATACCTCCGCTGCTTAATGTTTGGCGACTCCGAACCCGTGAATGAAGCTTCCCCGAGCGCGGGTTACCCCGCACACGGGTCAGCCTGCCAGCCACGTATCCACGCAAGCGTGGTCCGCGCGCACGGCATACTCGCCAGACAGCGCAGAGGCTAGGCGACCGGGGAAGGACTAGCTCAAGGGCAACACAGCGTCACCAGCCGTTGGCGCGCAGAACGAGTCTGCGGCCCCCGGTTGGGACGAGTGCGCGACGCGGACGAGCCGCTCAATATGGCGGCAGCTCGCGCTGCCGGCGGGGTTGGTTGGGGAGAGCCGGCACGGGGAAGGCCGGCCTCTCCGGAGGGGTCGCCCCCTGGAGGGGCCCCAAAGGGCCCCTCGGGGGGGGCGGGGGCCCCCGCCCCGAGGGGCGGGGGCAGGTTCGTCGCCTAGCGCGATGGTAGCTCGTCGACGTAGTCGTTCCATTTGTTGCCGCTGTGACCCTCCACATGCCTCCACGTCACGGTGTGTTTGGCGCGATGGCGTTGCCACAGAGGGACCGAAGGCGCTCCGCCAGCTGTCTGTTCGTTTTGGGGGTCACCCGCCCCATCATGCATGCCGCCGCGAACTCGCTATCGGTGCGCACTACTCCGCGTGAGTCCGCTCGTTGCGGTGACGAGGATAGGAGAGCCCGGAGGAGCTCGGCTAGGGCGGTTAGCTCCTGTTCGCCGTGTGGGGGGGGGTGGACGACAGCTTCACCAGACTCAGCTCTCGGTCGAGTCAGTGCCTAACAGCTCAGTGAGCGCCTCCCGCCACCCCCCGGCCAGGCGTGGTGTGGACGCGAGAATAAATAGCCGACGGCCCCGCACCACGGAACAACTGCGGAAGAAGGGGAGGTCAGACCTACCCTACCTACCCCGTCATCAGGTCCGCCCAAGCAAAAAAAGTGCACACCTGACCTCTCAGCTCAAAGGGGGAATTTATTTGTTTGGGCAGTGTTCGACCGGGCTAGTACTTGCCCTTGCCCGTCTTTGTTTTAGTAGTTAGTCTTGAGGGGTTGCCCTTGGCCGTTCGGCTGATTTATAAGATCCGCGAGACCTCGAGAGAGAAGTGCCGAAGGCGCTCTTTTTGATCGAGCAGTCGAGAAGCCACACCCTTTCGCATCACACGGCCGGCAGGCTGTATCTACTCAACTGCTCCGCTTACACTTACCTGTGAAGTGTGAACAGCGGATTTTAGCGTTCTCCTTGAACGATATCGGTGTCGAAACACCACTCTGACAGCGCTCACAGCTGCGCACATGCAGGCGACCCTGTTCGGCGAGGACGGTCGCTGGCGCGGCGAGCCTCGTCAGCGCGACTGCGGAAGCGACAGGCAGCGATGGAGGGACGAGCCGCGACGGCGCGATGAGCCGCGACGGCGCGATGAGCAGCGCGAGCGTTGGTCCGACGAGCGGCGCGGCTGCAACGACCGCCGGTGCAGAGACGAGCGCGAGCGCGACTGGCACGATCGGCGCGACGATTGGTACCACGATCCCAGGCGCGACTATGACCGGCGCGACCGCCGGGGCGAGGGGCAGCCTCAGCACAGCGACCGCCGGTTGAGTCCGCCGGTGCGCGGTGCGGGATCGCGCGACGAGCGACAGAGCTCTGCTGCTGGCGGTCAGCTCAATGCTAAGCAGCTCAACGGCCACATCTCGCATGCCAACGGCGCCGACGAGCTGCTCAGGCTCTTTGCTGCCCACAGCGCGAGCTTGAACCACATCCACGCTGCGAACCTGTGGAACAAACTGGGCAAGCAGCGCATCGAGCGGCGGCACGAGGGGCGGCTTGAGCAGCTGGTGCAACGCACGCTCGACCTGGTTTCTTCGTGCCGAGCACGCGAGCTGGCCAACGTGTCTCACGGCGTTGCAAAGTGTGGCCTGCAGGCGAGGGTGGTGCACCCGTTGTTCGTAGCGGTGGCGGAGGCGGCGGTGCGTGGCGGGCTGGCTGGCTTCAACCCTCAGGACATGGCCAACACGGTGTGGGCGTATGCGACGGCGGGCGTGGCTGCGGACGCGCTCTACGAGGCGGTGGCGGAGGCGGCGGTGCGCGGCGGGCTGGCCGGCTTTACGCCTCAGAACCTGTCCAACACGGCGTGGGCGTATGCGAAGGCGGGCGTGGCTGCAGACGCGCTGTACGCGGCGGTGGCGGAGGCGGCGGTGCGCGGCGGGCTGGCCGGCTTTACGCCTCAGGACATGGCCAACACGGTGTGGGCGTATGTGACGGCGGGCGTGGCTGCAGACGCGCTGTACGCGGCGGTGGCGGAGGCGGCGGTGCGCAGCGGGCTGGCTGGCTTCAAGCCTCAGGAACTGGCCAACACGGTGTGGGCGTATGCGACGGCGGGCGTGGCTGCAGACGCGCTGTACGCGGCGGTGGCGGAGGCGGCGGTGCGCAGCGGGCTGGCTGGCTTCAAGCCTCAGGAACTGGCCAACACGGTGTGGGCGTATGCGACGGCGGGCGTGGCTGCGGACGCGCTCTACGAGGCGGTGGCGGAGGCGGCGGTGCGCGGCGGGCTGGCCGGCTTTACGCCTCAGAACCTGTCCAACACGGCGTGGGCGTATGCGACGGCGGGCGTGGCTGCAGACGCGCTGTACGCGGCGGTGGCGGAGGCGGCGGTGCGCGGCGGGCTGGCCGGCTTCAACCCTCAGGACATGGCCAACACGGTGTGGGCGTATGTGACGGCGGGCGTGGCTGCAGACGCGCTGTACGCGGCGGTGGCGGAGGCGGCGGTGCGCAGCGGGCTGGCTGGCTTCAAGCCTCAGGAACTGGCCAACACGGTGTGGGCGTATGCGACGGCGGGCGTGGCTGCAGACGCGCTGTACGCGGCGGTGGCGGAGGCGGCGGTGCGTGGCGGGCTGGCTGGCTTCAACCCTCAGAGCCTGGCCAACACGGTGTGGGCGTATGCGACGGCGGGCGTGGCTGCGGACGCGCTGTACGAGGCGGTGGCGGAGGCGGCGGTGCGCGGCGGGCTGGCCGGCTTTACGCCTCAGAACCTGTCCAACACGGTGTGGGCGTATGCGACGGCGGGCGTGGCTGCAGACGCTCTGTTCGCGGCGGTGGCGGAGGCGGCGGTGCGCGGCGGGCTGGCTGGCTTCAACCCTCAGAACCTGGCCAACATGGTGTGGGCGTTTGCGACGGCAGACCAGTACCACGCGCTGCTGTTCGCCGAGTGCTCGCGCGTGGTCAGCGGCTCCCTTTGGGAGGGTCCGTCGGGTTATGGCATCGATGAGCGCCGTCAGCTGCACCAGTGGCAGCTCTGGCTCTTTTTGGAACACGCCGCAGACGCGCAGCAGCACCTTCTCTCCGAGTCCGAGCGGCGGCTCTGCTGCGACGCCATGCACGATACACAAGTGAGGGTCTCGGCGCTGCAGCGCTCCGTCGCGGCTGCCCTCGCCGCCGTCCGTTTCGGCTTCGAGGAGGAGTACGACGAGCCGCGCACCGGCTACTCGCTCGACCTGGCGCTGCCCTCTTCACGCATCGCGATCGAGGTGGACGGCCCGACTCACTTCCTGCTGCCCGACGGCCGGGGTGTGCGCAAACCCAACGGGCACACGCTCCTCAAGCGGCGCCTCCTCGCGGCGGCCGGCTGGCGGGTGATCAGCGTCCCGTTCTTCGCGTGGGACGGCTTGCGTTCGGCCGGTGAGCGGCAAGCCTACCTGGAGTGGGTGGTCGCCTCGCAATAGTAGTCTACTCTTGTACCACCGAGCGCGGCCCCCCCAGAGAAACGCTGTGTGAGAGAGAGCCCGCGGGCGCGGCGACAACATATCTCATATGTGTAGAGCCGTACTGCAGTCCGTGTTTACAAGTTGCGGGACATCTTTCTTCTTACATCAGACTTGTGTGAGGAGAGTGAGGTACACCGCACGTACTCGTACTGTGGTGCCCCAAAACAGCCAACACGCAACAGGGTTCGAGGGTGTACGCACTCCTTCAGCTCTCATGAAGGGCGGCGGGCCGTGTCCGGAGAAGGTGCCGGCCGCGGCGCCCTCGCCCCTCCCTCCCCCCACCCCCCCTTCCCCCCCTCCAGATCGTCTTCCCCCCTCCGCCCGCCTCCCTTCCCGCCTGCCTCCACAGCCCTTTTCGATCGCGCGCAGGCCCGCGTCGCCATCTCCGGCATGCCGGCAGCCCACTTTACCATCGCCTCCTCGGTCGCTGCCGCTTCCCTCGCAGTACGAGGTCGGCATGCCGCCAAGCCCGCCGCCGCCAAGCCCGCCTCCCCCGTCGCCGCCCCCACCGAGCCCACCTCCCCCGCCGCCGCCCGCTCCCTCACCCCCTCCACCGTCTCCACCACCGCCATCGCCCCCGCCGCCAAGCCCGCCGCCCCAAGCCCGCCGCCGCCAAGCCCGCCGCCGCCAAGCCCGCCGCCGCCAAGCCCGCCAGCCCCGTCGCCGCCACCGCCAAGCCCTCCTCCGCCGTCCAACCCCGCCCCCTCAGCCCCCCCTCACTGCACCTTCACCCCGCCCCCGCCCCGCCCCCCGCGCAGGTTCTACTTCTTCGTCGGCATCGCCACATCGTCTGCGACGACTTCTACGCCGAGGCGATCGATGAGGTGGTCGAGGTGCTCAAGAGGTGTGCCCGAGGTCGTCGCCGGCGCACCCTTCATGGCGGTCGGGTCGTCGGCGCCCGAGTTCTTCACGGTGATTCGCCCCGCTCGTGACCGAGTCGGACGACGGCGTCGGCGACGTCGTCGCCGCGCCGCCGTCTTCAACTCGATGACCATCGTCGGCCTGACTGGCATCTTTGCCCCCGGGCACAGGCGATCGCCTTTCAACCCCCCGTCCATTCCACACCCCTCCCACCCCC